TTTGTTTTGTTTTGTTTTTTTTTTTTTTTGATGAAATTTCATTTTGCATTTCAGTTTAACAGTTAAAATTCGTTTCTGAGCAAGTAGAGTTTTCCATTTTACACTCATTTTTGGATCAATCATTTTTACACTCAAATTTGAGGACCAGCAAACCATGAAATATGTGGTCTATATAAGTTTTTATGATTGGTAGAGGTTGAGTGCAACAAGAGAATTTACAAGGTTTCGGTGGGGGAAGGAAGTAACAGTGTGGATTTTGACTATGAGATGCGCCAGAAATGGGGGCTGAACATCTCTTCACCTTCCCGGTCGGAGAGTTCAGTTGCCGGAGTTAACCCTCAACAAGATGTCAGAAGCGAAGAGGTGGATCACACTGACCAAAAGCAGCATGGGAACTCGGCTTTGGTGGCGTCAGACCATGGGAACTCGACTTCGGTGGTTAAAGACACTTTTGCAGACTGTGGCTTCGTGAAGGATGTTGAGGATAGCATGCTAAAGAAGTTACCAAGAGTAGTAAATGATGACAGCAGGATGGTTTCTGGTGGGCCTCCTTTACTCACTCCAGGATTTGTTAAGAGTCTGAGTGGGTCAGAGGGAAGTAGACCCAGTATTAATATTGAGGTAGTGCTAGAAGGGGCCCAAGTAGGAGGTCCTGTTGATGGGCTTAGTTGTGCGCTAATTAACAAAGTGGTTCCCCAAATTCAAAATGGACTGGCCCAGTCTCGAAAGCATACTCTGTGCCCATCACAAGCCTAAGAGCTTGTCAGGTTCAATACAACTACTGTGGGTAGAGAACCAGAGGTAACAGCTAACACCCATCGTCTTCAAGCAGGTAAGGAAGGAGGTTCGAGAGGAAGGGGAAGGAGAGGAGTTCACAGAAACGTTGCCTCATTTTCAGGCGGTTTTCAGCGGGGTGCGTTGCTCAGGGCTGCGGCTGCAGCCCTCTCACATTCTCAGTCCCAGAACAGCCGATCGAGTAGGAGAAGGAAGCTGGCTATTGAGGAAGCTAACGCCACTTTGCAGCTCGGCAAACGTTTGGGTATGAACTGCGAAGGGAAGGAGAATGAAGTGGTACAAAAAATTGTTGAGCTAGAGCTACAAGATGCAGAGCGGTTTGATAAAATTGCAAAAGGGGGTCAGGTGGGTCAGACCTGATTGGTCGTGAATTGGGGGTGTGTAGCAGGGTTAAAGCTAGTTTCAAATGAAGATTATGTCTTGGAATGTTAGAGGCTTGGGTAGGCTGGAAAAACGACGTAGAGTGAAGCAGATGATTAAAGAAAAAAGAGTAGATGTTTTGCTCCTTCAAGAAACCAAGAGCAGAAATATTGATGTTACTTTTGTTCGATCTATTTGGCCTTGGGAGAAGCTGGAATTTATGGCTGCAGATTCGGATGGGAGTGCTGGAGGGCTTTTGAGTATTTGGAATCCTGAAGTTTTCTCCTTATCAGAGTGTTGCAGTAACAGAAATTTCTTGCTTCTATCAGGTACTCTTTCTGGTTCATTTGAGTGTGTCTTCTTAAATATTTATGCGCCTAATGATGTGGGTCAAAGAGCTAAGTTGTGGGATTCTATACTCAATGTAAGACCCTCTTTCCAAAAGCCTTGGTGCATGGGTGGTGATTATAATGAGATTAGAGTTCCTAACGAAAGAAGAGGATGTACTAGAAGGTCCAAAGGGATGCAGGATTTTAACAATTTTGTAGATCATCTGGAAATGTTGGATTTACCTATGTTGGGTAGGAATTTTACATGGTGTAATTCTTTGGAAGGTGAAAGGTGGAGTAGAATTGATAGGTTTCTGTTGGCCGTTATCATTTTACTACTATTACCATCACTGCTACCATGTTGACCACCACCACCATGCCACCATCACCACCACCATCAATGCTACTGCTGCCACCACCACCACCATGCCACTGTCACCATTACCACCACCACTACCACAACTACCACCACCATAATAATATAAAAATTAAAATATATAATTTTAAGAGAATAAATTTTAAATAATCTTATATAGATCAAATAATTTATTTTTAGTTCAATCCTTAAATTTTATCAAACAGTTTTTCAACTTAAAAAAATCAGCATTCAGTTTCAATTTTCAGTTTTCAATTTTGTCAACACCACCTTAGTTTATGACTAATTCATGAACCACTTAATCTATTTATTGATTTAGTTGTTAAATTAGTGACTACACATATGTTAATATTTGGTTTTTATAATAAAATTGGTTAATTACACTAAGACTTCACGAACTACTAACAAATGTTACTTTATCTTCTCTCATTAATGAATTCATACATATTAATCTCCTTAACTATAAAAATCTAACACTTTCACCCTCTCTAGACCATCTCCAAAAGGGGTGCATTTGTATAATTTTCATAATTGAGGGAGTTAATATGTACGGGGTTCATAGATGAGGGAGAATAAGCGATATTCATTAATACTTGAGGGAATTTTGGTGCGATTAAACCTAGCAAAAATAATATATATATATATATATATATATACACATATACATGTATATCATGCATAATTATTTGAAAAAAAAAAATTAAATTTGGGCCAAAAATTATATATTTATATTTAAAATTATTGCCAATTAAAACTATCTAATACCATGTTGCCTTAAACTATCGGCCTTATTCTAACCATAACTTGCACTTGATCGGAGGGTAGTAGACCCAGTATTAATATTGAGGTAGTGCTAGAAGGGGCCCAAGTAGGAGGTCCTGTTGATGGGCTTAGTTGTGCACTAATTAACAAAGTGGTTCCCCAAATTCAAAATGGACTGGCCCAGTCTCAAAAGCATACTCTGTGCCCATCACAAGCCGAAGAGCTTGTTAGGTTCAATACAACTACTGAGGGTAGAGAAACAGTGGTAACAGCTAACACTCATCGTCTTCAAGAAGGGAAGGAAGGAGGTTCGAGAGGAAGGGGAAGGAGAGGAGTTCACAAAAATGTTGCCTCATTTTCAGGCGGTTTTCAGCGGGGTGCGTTGCTCAGGGCTGCGGCTGCAGTCCTCTCACATTCTCAGTCTCAGAACAGCCGATCGAGTAGGAGAAGGAAGCTGGCTATTGAGGAAGCTCACGCCACTTTGCAGCTTGGCAAACGTCTGGGTATGAACTATGAAGGGAAGGAGAATGAAGTGGTACAAAAAATTGTTGAGCTAGAGCTACAAGATGCAGAGCGGTTTGATAAAATTGCAAAAGGGGGTCAGGTGGGTCAGACCTGATTGGTCGTGAATTGGGGGTGTGTAGCAGGGTTAAAGCTAGTTTCAAATGAAGATTATGTCTTGGAATGTTAGAGGCTTGGGTAGGCTGGAAAAACGACGTAGAGTGAAGCAGATGATTAAAGAAAAAAGAGTAGATGTTTTGCTCCTTCAAGAAACCAAGAGCAGAAATATTGATGTTACTTTTGTTCGATCTATTTGGCCTTGGGAGAAGTTGGAATTTATGGCTGCAGATTCGGATGGGAGTGCTGGAGGGCTTTTGAGTATTTGGAATCCTGAAGTTTTCTCCTTATCAGAGTGTTGCAGTAATAGAAATTTTTTGCTTCTATCAGGTACTCTTTCTGGTTCATTTGAGTGTGTGTTCTTAAATATTTATGCGCCTAATGATGTGGTTCAAAGAGCTAAGTTGTGGGATTCTATCCTCAATGTAAGATCCTCTTTCCAAAAGCCTTGGTGCATGGGTGGTGATTATAATGAGATTAGAGTTCCTAACGAAAGAAGAGGATGTACCAGAAGTTCCAAAGGGATGCAGGATTTTAACAATTTTGTAGATCATCTGGAAATGTTGGATCTACCTATGTTGGGTAGGAATTTTACATGGTGTAATTCTTTGGAAGGTGAAAGGTGGAGTAGAATTGATAGGTTTCTGTTGGATCCCACCTGGGTAGAAAATTTTAGTTTGAAGTTATGGGGCTTACCTAGACTGGTGTCAGACCACTGTCCTCTGTTGCTTATGGAAGATGAGAAAAACTGGGGCCCTAAGCCGTTTAGGTTTCTGAATACATGGACCTTGAATCCTAGCTTCTTGTCTGTTGTGCAAAAGTCCTGGGTGGATTCGCAGGTTCAAGGGTGGGCTGGGTACAGAGCTAAGGCGAAATTGTGTAGTCTCAAAGCTGAGTTGAAAAGGTGGAATTCTGAAGTGTTTGGTTGTGTGGAGGACCAACTCAAAAAGGCTGAAATTGAGTTACATGAGCTTGATCTGTTGGCAGAAATGAGGTCATTAGAACCTCATGAAGTTGTAAGAAGAAGGGAGGTCAAAAACTTGGTGTGGTCATATAGTTAGAAATTGGATTGGATATGGTTCCAAAAGTCTAGACTAATTGGGCTCATAATGGTGATCGGAACACCAGGTTTTTTCATATTATGGCTAGCCAAAGGCAGAATAGGAACTTAGTGGACTCAGTGGTTGTGGATGGGGTTCGCGTTGAAGATCCAGCATTGGTAAAACAAGAAGTGCTGAGGTTCTTTACAAAGACATTTTCGGAAGATTGGCCATCTCGTCCAAAATTGTCTGGTAGTTTTGTGCTTAATAGTGCTAAGGTGGTGGAGTCTCTCGATCCTGAGTTCACTCTGGAAGAAGTTTGGGAGGCTGTAAAAGACTGTAATGGGAATAAAGCGCCGGGTCCGGATGGTTTCAACATGATGTGCATCCAGAAATGCTGGAAGGTTATGAAAAGTGATTTATTCCAGTTTATGCAGGAGTTTTACAAGAACAGTAAGCTGGTTTCTGGGCTAAATAGCTCCTTTATCACCTTAGTTCCTAAGCTTACTAGTCCCTCGGGTTTGTTAGATTTTAGACCAATTAGTTTGGTGGGTGTACTGTATAAAATCTTGGCTAAGGTACTCTCCAAAAGATTGAAAAGGGTGATTCCAGATGTGATTGGAGTAGTGCAGACTGCCTTCTTGGGGGGGAGGAATATCTTCGATGGGGTAATGATTGCTAATGAGGTGGTGGATTGGTGGAAGAAGTCTAAAGAGAAGGGTGTCATTTTCAAACTTGACTTTCAAAATGCTTATGATTCGGTCAACTGGGATTACCTGTTTTCTATGATGGCCAATCTCGGGTTTGGGGAGAGATGGCTGGGTTGGATGAAAACTTGTGTCACCACGGCTAGAATTTCAATTCTTGTTAATGGTTCACCAACAGAAGAGTTCAGTCCACAGAAGGGGCTAAGGCAAGGTGATCCTCTCTCCCCCTTTTTGTTCAATATTGCAGCTGAGGGCCTCAATGTTTTGTTGGAAAGGGCTAAAGTTTTGGGCTTAATTAAGGGAGCTTCTATTGGGTTAGGAAATTTGAATCTGTCTCATCTCCAATTTGCCGATGACACTATTCTTTTTTGCGATGCTGAGTGGGAGGAGATAGTAAATGTTAAGAGGATTCTTAGATGCTTTGAGATTATGTCGGGCCTTAAAATAAATTTCCACAAAAGTGTGGTGTGCGGAGTTGGGATTAGTGGAGATATTGCTCAAGCTTTTGCCTCTAAACTTTATTGTCTAAGTAAGAAGCTTCCTCTTTTGTACCTGGGCTTACCTCTAGGTGCTAACCCAAGAAGAAAGAAGACTTGGCAACCTGTGGTGGAGAAGGTAAAAGCTAAATTAGCCTTATGGAAGAGAAGGACGCTTTCATTTGCTGGTCGTCTAACTCTGATCAAATCTGTCCTTGATAGTCTGCCTGGTTACTACCTTTCTCTCTTCAAATTACCTAAAGGGGTAGCTAAGGAAATTGATAAATTGAGGGCAACATTTTTATGGGGTAGTTCAGAAGTCCGGAGGAAGATTCATTTGGTAAACTGGAAGTTAGTAACTCTTAGTAAAGAGCATGGAGGGTTAGGCGTTAGAAGGGTGAGGGACTTTAATGTTTTCTTGTTAACTAAGTGGTGGTGGAGATATGGGGTGGAAGATGAATCTCTGTGGAAGAAAGTAATTTTGAACAAGTATGAGGGAGTGGGTGGTAGATGGTTACCAGTGTTGGAAGGGACTGGCAAAGAATCTTTTGTTTGGAGTGATATCCTGAGTGTGTTAAGGGCTAATGCTGAGCTTTTTGAATTTTTTATGTCTAATTGCAAGCTTGTGATAGGAAATGGGTGTAGGATTCACTTTTGGCATGATAAGTGGCTGTTGAATGTTTAATTGAAGGTAGAGTTCCCAAGGCTGTTTAGATTATCTGTGGATAAAGACGGGAATCTGAGCTCTTTCATGCAGAGGAGGGATATCTCAGGAAATTGGAGGTTTCTGTTTTCAAGACCACTTCTTGCTTGGGAGGAAGAGGAGGTTCAAAGGCTGCAAGACTTGACTGGAGATGCTCCCAGGATTAATGAGGAGCTACCAGACTCAGTCAGGCGGACTGCATCTCCTTCAGGTCAATTCACTGTGGCATCATTGGGGAAATGGTATGAGGTGATTCAAGGCCCAAAATTGCAGGTTCCTAATCTGTTATGGAGAGGCGTGGCCCCTCCAAAAGCTCAATTTTTGAGCTGGTTGGCTTGGAGGGGCAAGGTTAAAACCATTAGTCTTTTACAGAGGTTTAGGGCCTTAAGTAGTAATGTGGAGAATCTGTGCCTTTTCTGCAAGCTGGAACCAGAGTCCGTGGATCATTTGTTCCTTCAATGCTCGGAGATTTGGAAGGTTTGGTCATCTTTGCTTCAATGGTGGGGAGTATCTTGGGTCATTCCTGCTACAGTTGATGGTGTGCTGTTATGGTGGCTGGGAACAAAATTGAAGAAATCAGTTGGGAGGATTTGGAGGCTTGTTCCAATTGCAATGTTATGGTCAGTATGGAGGTTAAGAAATGAGTGTGTTTTTAAAGGAAATCAGCCTAATATGGAAGAGCTTGGTGAAATAGTGAAAGTGAGGGTTGGGTTGTGGGCCAAGTTTGGGCTGCCAGAGTTTCACTATTCAGTGCATGATGTAGTGGCTAATCTGAATCAGGTGACTTGTTGTTTATAGGGATTTGCTGCTGGGTTGTATGTGCTTCTGGGGAGTGTCTGTGTAGTCTGCTCCATGCCAGATGGGGTGTGTTTGCTTCTGCTCTAGTCTACTTTATCAGGGTAGTCTGCCAATCTGAATCAGGGTAGTCTGCCAATCTGGAAGTCTGCTAATCTGTGCTTGCTGGTCTGCCAATCTGTGTCCGCTGGTCTGCTCTGGCATGCTCAAGCTATTCTGAATCAGTATGCTAATCTGATTTAGATCAGATGCTGTGTGTTGCCTTGTTGTGTGTCGCCAGGATTGAATCAAGAAGTCTGATGCTGGGATGTTGCTGGCAGATCTGTTGCTGTCTGCATAGCAGCTGTGGAGTAGGGTCTGCTATTGTGGTGTAAGGTTTGTTGCTGTATGGTCTGATGCTAGTGGCCTGGTGCAAGGTCTGTATGTTGTTGTTTAGTGGATTGGTTTGGGCTGTTTGTTTGGCATGGTAAAGGGTTGTGTCTAAGGCCTGCTCAAGATCTGGTCAAAGGTCTGCTCATAGAGTTGCCGCTGGTCTATGCTGTTGTAGTGTGCTACTAGTTTTTCTTCTGAAGAGAGTAAGGTCTGCTCTGCTCAAAGATTTTTGTGCTGCTGAAGTATGATGCTGGTCTATGCTACTGGTGTTTGCTGTTGGTGTTTGCTGAGTCGTATGCTGCTGGATTTGTGCAGCTACTGCTGTATGCTCAACCTGTTTTCTTATGATGTATGATGTCTTAATGGTCTGTGCAGCTTCTTCTAGTGTTGTTCTATTTTATTTGCTTTTTTTGTCTTTTTTGGTTCCTCTTGATTGGTTCCTCACCAATCTTTGGGTGAAGCGCTTGCAAATGATTATGTTTCCTTAATAGTGTCAACCTAGTTGGTATTGTTAAAGTTAGCGTTGATGCTCTTTACTCTTCCCTCTTCGTTGATGTAAGTTTTCGCATGTATTGCTTTCTTCATCAAATTTATTTTTGTTAAAAAAAAAAAAAAAAAAAAAAAACAGACCAAATTTAAAAAAATTTCAAAACTTGTTAAAATTATATTCGAGCTTAAATAATCTATTACTTGACTTGGTTGTGGATAATATTAATTTATATATAAAAAAAAAATATTACATTTGGTTGGGAATGCATGGATGGTATTATGAAAAAGAAAATATCATTTATATAAGTTTTTTATCACGTTTTTTTTTCTTTTTATATTTTTAAAAAAGGGGATATTTGGGACGCCCATTGGCTGTCACAAAAGATGTTATTGGAAGATTATAACAATTCTGTGACAGCGTAGACTGTTGCTAAAGTTTATTACTTGTGACAGCAAGTAGTGCCATTGCTAAAAAGTGAGATTTCCCTTTTTGCGACAATAACTAGCTGTTGCAAATAATACATCTCTAGCAATGGCAAAAAGTCCATATGCGACAATAAGTCACTTTTTGCCACACCCCATTTTGCCCACTATGATTGTTGTTGCCATGTTGTCGCTAATACTTTTTGCAATGCCATTTCTACTTTTTGCAACTGTAAGTTTTCATAGCAAAGGTCCATTTTTTTTGTAGTGTGACGAGAAATAGTAATAGGTGAAATTTCTCATAAAACATATAGCAAGCTATATGGTTAACCTGTTGGAGAAAAATGGTTTTAAACCATTATTAATGTAGGACCCATCCATTATTTAGGTGGGTCAACGTAGCAATTTGTTTCTTGTTATATGGTGAACAAGAGAATGCATTATGATTGTTAAAAACATTAATGAGTGAATGAGAAATCAACTCATGAACAAAAATTTGGCAAAGAGGGGAGTTATGAACCAAGGTAGGCTCAATCCAAAACGCACACGCACGGCTGTGGGTTGGGTTGGCACTTATAATTTTTAGAGAAACTACTATTTAAAAAAAAAAAAAAAACCTTGGTCTCCAACGATCACCTTTCTTGACTAAACAGTCACATAGGTGACTATTGCTTGCTACAGTTATTGCGTATTTAATGGCAAAGCAATCTCTCATTTTAGGATAAAAAAAAGATAGATTGGATCCTAGCTTTTTCGTCTTCTTGTGGCAGTGTTTATAATCATCTTCATCTTCATTTTTATTGGTTTTGTTGAGAGAGTGCTTAACACAAATTTGGTTCGCAGTACACACAAATTGTAGTGCTACTTCTGTGTGTAGGTGATTATTGTATCCTGGAGACAGAACTTCCGTAAATCTCAAGCACCAGTAGAGAGGGCGAATTTTTGTCTTAAAGACACAGTGTCCAAACACTGGCCTCAATCACACCTCTGTTAATTATTTTGGTTTTGGTTCACAGTATTTGTAAATATCTTCTGTTACTTGGTTTTAGTTTATTTATTGAATATTGAATTTCTTTTTGATATTTAAATTAATAAATTAATTTATTGGGAAATTATTTTCAACAATTTTAAGGAAAAAAATTCTTTTTCCTAGCTAAATTAATTCTTTTGTGATTGTTTTCCCAATACATAATTTCATTATGTGTTTTTCTGGTTTCATATACAACTTGTTTGTTTCTAGTTTAAAAGAAAATAAAATTTAGTAGTATTCTTATTTAATTAATACAAAATTGATACATCACTGAGTTGTAAATCTATGTTTTGTCTAAATATCTGGTTCTGGTTTCCTTTTATCAAACATAGTATTTGTTGGGTGTTCATCAAATTTTTTTATTTGGTTTCCTTAGGTGGTCGAAACTTGTATTGGATTGTTTGTTTTTATTATTTTTTGTTTAGTGTGTTCTGTAACTTACAATTTTAGATCACAATAAAAAAATGTTTAAAACAAAAAATAATATATAGCAGCTCTCTAATAAATTTGATACATCGATGATTAATAGTTTGTATTTATAGTTGACTGTCACCTATAAATAATAATTTCGCTTAATTTATCAAACGTAATTTGAGCAAGAACCTCGACTACATCAACAGAATTCTTGCACAACAAAAAGGTCCAGAGATCCAAATATCAGTCTCAAGTTAAAATTTGAAGCTCTCTGTGATAAAAACATACAATTGAGAGATGTAACACTAAAGAGCACTTGATTCAGCAATGTGATGGCATAATAAAGCATTATCAGCCAGCTAATTCATTAACACTACACAAATTGGTTCCACTACTACCAATATCGTCTAACATTATCCTCCAAAAAAGCTAAGATAACCTCAAACCACATTGGCCTGGTTGTAATTATTTCAAATCCTCAATTTCACTTTCGGTTTTCATTTCAAATACTTCAAGAACAAAAACTACCACAGTTTCAACAAAGTGCCATTTTCAGGCCATGTTCACTAGGTAATGGACTCGAGGTCATGAAAAATGCAGAAAACTAGCTTTAATTGTTTTTTTTTTTTTAAATTTAAATGGGCCATTTCAGCAAACCCTACAAAGCGATTAGGATCACCTTGCCTATGAGGAACTAAGTGCAACAACTTTGAAGCCCGTAGAAAAAAATAGTTGTGTCTCAGTTGTATATATATAAAAATTATGCAGCCTCTGATTACTAATAACACCACCAATATATTTGATTCTATCATGACATCATACAACACCCACAAGCATGTAAACTACGGTAGTACTGTTAAACTTGAAAAAATATATGCATAACTGTTTCCAGGATGTTAAAGATTACCTTCATTTCTCTATAAGAAATCTCATTCATTGGGCACTCAGCTGCAAATTCATGCTTTAGTGACAAAAACAACTCCAACAATCGCTTCCTGAGATATTATTATCAGAAATTATTTTCTTCAAAGAATAAGAAGATGATGAGATGACAACGGTGATGATGATTATACAAATTGTGTTATGCCTTCAGCAAATAAATTATTGGTAGCATGCTTGTTGGCTTACTTGCATAAAGATGATTCAGTAGAAGGGTATATTGCCCCTTTTGTAGAGGTGCCTTGCTTTCTTCCAGTAGTTCCAAGAATGACTTCATGCAAGCCAGACTTGTTCCAGCATATTGAATACTTGTGAATGAATGCATAGCCAGTCTAACGAAAAAGATACAGTCCCAAAATAATTTCTACACCTTGATCTGGTGAAATGAAGCAAACTTACCTTTGGGTTTCTTCAGGTGCAACATTCTCTTGTTGACATGCGCCCTCAACAGAAAATGGCAGAGCTGTGTCAGCTTACTGGAGTAAAACTCATAACGTCTCTCTCTCTGTGCGTGTGTGTGTGTGTGTGTGTGTGTGTGTGTGTGTGTGTGAGAGAGAGAGAGAGAGAGAGAGAGAGAGAGAGAGAGAAAGAAAGAATGAGAGAGAAACACTAATAAATTCTCAGCATTTGCATGATAGGGACCTAAAATCATTGTGTGAGAATTTTGGATTCTATGATTCTGAATGGGACAACAACTAACTACTAAGTAATATATATTCAAATGAAAGCTCTCTGTTAGACTATTACTAGGTGGATCAATGCATGATAGGGACCTAGGATTCTAGGACTCTCTTTCCTATTGTTTACTATTGAATGAATAAAAGAGGCCTCAAAAAAACAGGGGCAAAAAAAAAAACAAGGGCTGGGCTGAAGTCACCTTCTTGTTGCTCTAAGTAATATATATTCAAATGAAAGCTCTCTGTTAGACTATTACTAGGTGGATCAATGCATGATAGGGACCTAGGATTCTAGGACTCTCTTTGCTATTGTTTACTATTGAATGAATAAAAGAGGCCTCAAAAAAACCGGGGCAAAAAAAAAACAAGGGCTGGGCTGAAGTCACCTTCTTGTTGCTGCAAAAAACAGATGAAATCAACTTCAACAAAAGGGAGGAAATCGATTTCGAGTGGCTCTTCTTGCTACACTGCAAAAAAGAAGAAAAAAAAATGTAAAAAACCAAGAAGAAGAATCAAAGAAAAAATGAAGAATAAAAACGATGAAGAAGAAGAATCGAACAAACGACACTCACCGGAATTTACTCAATGTGTAGCATTTTGGGCTTGGTTGTAAGAGTAACTAGGTTAGGTTTGTTATTTTGAAGTGTGTGTTTGAAGATTGGCTTGTGCAAGTTGTTCCATTACACAAAGGCAAAACTGCAAATGTGCCTGAAAGATTGAAAAATAGAAAAGTCATTTGAAATTCTAAATTTGCTTTCCTCCTAACAGAAGAGTTTCAAGCTGTCAACTTTCACTTTCTATAAATATAGTTTATAAAAAGGCATTCAGCTTTCTCAAACATCATGCGTTGTGTTCCCAAAAAAAAAAAATCATGTGTTGTGGCAAAAATTGTTCCCTACTGAAACTCTACTTCAGTAACACAATTTACTGTTGTATCTATCAATAAGTGCTCTTTTGACATAAAAATCTATAATTACTCTGACATTAAAAAAAAAATTGAAGAATCACAACTAAACACTGCATTGAATTCCAGCCGGATCTTGGTTCCTTGTCCTCACAGAATGATATCCTCCTGTACACTAACATTAAGGGTCTTGTTTGGGAGCACGATGCTGTTAGTCACCACGACTTCATCTTCAACTGTCACAGCTTCTCCTGCATCAGAGAGAAAAACCCATTATTATGAGATGGCATTCTGCTTCGGACACACGAGGCATGAGAAGGATAAGGTGATTACCAAGGATGGTGATTCCAAGCTTGGCATTGTAGTCTCCTTCAGATTGAACCACAAAATCAAAAGTAGGGTCAGTTGTAAAAACTAGAAAGAATGCACAAAGATTTGATCACACCAAGTATCAATACGTTTTTTAGCTTCAGTTGTCACAACAGATCGCCACTATTGGACTTGGGAAATCTTTTAAAATGCCCGGGATGAAGAAGAAGAAGATGGGTATTTTAACTTAATACCACACTGATAAACAAGGCGAATCAATTGGCAATTTTAGGAATATCAAATGCTTTCAGAACAGTGAAAATGTGATCAAGCTTACTTGGGCACGCGACCATTTCCCAATAGATGATTTCCTTCCAACAATAGCATGCATAACTACTGCATTTTCCTGTCAGGAGATTATTAACATATTAATCTCAGGTCTTAGGTGTAACTGTTCTATAACGTTTTTCAACTCCTTACCTTTATTTAAACATCATCTAAGATGATGCAACTTATAAGCCTTACACCTGCTGCTATACGAACATTTGCTGAGATTGAAACATTAGGGCCAATCTGTTTAAATGAAAATGAACAAATTTAAATATACAAAATGGGAAAGAAAGGCTGAAAATCATGGAAAATATCCAATTCAGGATTCAAAACTAGTTTCAACATTCGGCATGGGTTTCAAAAATACTTGAAAAAGCACAGAAAGATAACCAATACTGTTGAGCAATGTGAAACAACTATTGGAAAGAGATGAGACAAAATTACCTTAGCAGTTGGATGTATTTTTGCAGATGGACGAACATAAACATCACCTTAATTAATTTCCTACTAGCAGCCAAAAACTTCAATTTCACTGACAATGATCGTCTGAAGTTTGGAGGAGCCCAGTATTGTTCCTACGAAGGAAAAAACAATAATCACTATTGGAATGAATATAGAAAAAAGAGGTGAAGGTCAAATCTTATATTAAAACAATGTCTTAGAAAGTATTGGCATGATTAAAAATAGCCCTTGGCAGAGTAGAATGACAAAAAAATATTCATGTATCCGACACAAGGCTTAGTTTGGTTTGGTTTGATTTGGTTTGGTTTGGTTTATCAGGCACGTGTGCACAGGGTAGAGGCATGCAAACACAAGGTGTTACCCTAAGAAGCATGGACACTTCTAAAAAGGTAACGTATCATGTTTGATACCAACATGACATGATACTCATCAGATACTTCCTAACACTATATACATGAACACAATACAAGTTTGAATGAAATAACTTGAAATCCAATAATAAAAACAAAAGCAATGTAAATTTATACTTATTCTCCTTCTTTAAACTCTAAAAATTATTATCTTTGACTTAAATATATTCATATACATGCCGTATAATAATTATTTATCCTAATAATAAATATGTGTTACTTTCTCTCTTAGCCCAAAGTATGACATGCCAAAATCCTGAACTCAGACCAACTTTGTACCTGAATTTTATTTCCTTTTATAAATTCAAAGAAAACCAATAGAAAGTCTATTATGAAACTGAGTTCTAAAGAAAATTAGCCAATTTTGAAGTGTTTACCAATTTTTTTTCACCTTAACTCATTTCAGTGTGAAAAATCCAGATACAGCCAAATAGTCCTCAAACATTCAGATTTGCCAGCCAAAGTAGAGTGAATGTCATGAAGCATGTTAATGAAATGAGAGCCGTGTTGATTTCCGTACCTTGCTAACTTCAAGTGCAGATTGAATGACATAGTTGGCAAACGGGTCTTGCAGCAACTGTTCAAAGTGAGGCACTGAAAGCAATTCATGGATGATTCTTGGACGGCTTTCTTCAAAATGTTTGAGGCATTTTTCAACAACATGACTGCTGAATTTTTGCATCGAAAGGTGCACATAGTGCCCTTCAAACTGAGAAATCAAGCCGGCAGCAGCTAAAGGGATCTCCTGTATAACGTATTGGACAACATAATTTCTGGGATCCAAAAAAAACAAGCATTCAATTCAAAACAAAATATTAAAATATGCCATGAAGCCAAATACAAATAATTAAAGCAACCATCATAAGACCAAATTACTTCTAATGAGATACAGAGGTAGAGGGGTAGAGGTTTATATGGATGTACATAGTGCAAGAAAATGATAAAAATTAACTGCTGACATATACACGAACAATTAATATTCACAGCTATAAGAAAGCAGTATTGAGGCAGAGGTTTGGAGATATCTATAACACAATGTAGCAGTAAGGTATAATATGTTCATTAGCATAGTTATATAATGCGAATGGTGAGATAGATGGTAGAAAAATAAAAATAAGCACGTGTGAAAAAGTTTAAGAGTAACCAGAGATATGGACAAATAACAACACATCAACTGAGATCAGCCAGTGTAACTTGGAAAAGCTGCAGTAAATTGCTCTAAGTTAAAAGGTCGTTTGGATCATAATCAAAGATAAATGCATTAACACATGGCATTTCACCACTTCAAGAAATGTGAAAAAGATGATCATTATGATGATTTGATGATGATGATGACGATGACGACAAAAATGAAAGGAGAAAGGAGGGAAGAGGATGCTAAACAAACATGGGTTATGGCTGTGAGAAAAGAAGACAAACTTGCGACATTGTAAAAATTACGATTTTGTGATAAGAGTCATGATTTTTGTGATGGAAGTTATGATTTTTGTAAATGAAAGCTATAAATGGTGAAGTTATGATGTGCACCCTAAAAGTTAAAAGTTATGTTTTTGTGATTTAAGTTCTACTTTTTGCAGAAGCAAAAGTTACAATTTTTGTGAAAGAAAAAAGTTATACTTTTTGTGATAAAAGTTATACATTTTTATGATAAATAGTTTGCACTTTTTACATCAGGCGCATACCATATGCACCCTTTCTTGGGGTGCACATGGTAGCCTTTCCGTATGGGTTTTTGGCCGCGGTGATCCATTTTATTGAAGGGCTTTAGACTAGGTCAAGTATGAGCATCAGTTTCAACTTAAAACCGGCCCCACTTTCCCTAGTTTCAGACTGGAGAATTGAAATATTATAAGATCTAGCAACAAGGTTGATTGAGTTGGAGGCCAAACGATTTTATTGATGGTTTGATGGGAGGCTCTGGGTTAAACAGCATAAACTGACAGCTTCTTACTGCCTCCATTCAATTTGCTCTCTCCTCCTAGTTAGCTCTATATTAATTGAATTCACACTAATTGGTATAATGGTCATAAAACAAATTATATCAGTCAAACTCTAATTTGAAGTCCTCTCTTCTGTTGTCTCCC